GCTTTGGGTGTCTTATTTTGCTAGCAAAAGTGGGGTTTTTATCATCCAAGTCCTAGAGGAGAGTGTTGGTTAGCTAAAGGAGCTTCATTTCGAGTTTCTAATATCAAGGTAGTGTATTTATAATGATTTGCAATATTAAGGCTTACACAAGCATGAATATTTGTTAAGATTTGAGTATTTGAGCATTTTAGGGTTTATACTTGATTTCATGATTATATAATGTTTTTGATGTAAAACATGTGTTTTTATGGCACTTTATGACAGTAAGTAAATTCTTTAAGCTTTAGCAGATGTTTTGGGATCAAACTAAGACCTTTAGGATGATTTTTGGGTGTTTCCCGATGTTCGCGTTTTGTGGGTACTAAATATGGACGCGAAATATGTGCAATTATACATAATCGAACAAGTAATACAGTGATGCGTGAGTATCGTATCCATAGGGATTGAAGGAAATTTATAAGTTTAATCAAAGAAAATAACTAGTTTATTTAAGTATAGTTAGTGTGATGGTATGTACCAATGAGAATGTTGAGGCAATGTGAAATGTATGTTGGTGGAGATGGAATAATAGTGTGATGTGGGAGCAAATAGGGATGTCTTGGAAAAATGGATGGAAATTGGAAAAATAAATTGAGTGTAGTGAAACAAATGAAAATGTAAAGACAAAACAAAATGTAAACACTGGATTTGAATAAAATGACTTGATAATCCTCACACTACAAGCTACTATAGAAATGAATAATAGGAGTCACTTAGGAAACTTAAGTCTATCTTCTCATGATGGTCTTACTTCTATGTGTTACTTGTCCGACAGAGTTTGCTAATGATTCCCTACGCTATCTCTAGTCAAGGGACTCGATAGGTTAAGAGTACCTTGGCAATACCTCTCGGCGTTAACAGGTGCAGGTATCTCATTGGTTCAGATCAACAGAATATGTCACGGTAATACCACTCAGTGTCAACAGTAGTATCTAACCTCTCGATCGAGCACTACTCATTTTAGTCGATTGAAATCCTAGCCTTATGTCTAAGGGTGGATTAGGACTAGTTACTGTATAAAACCCATTGTTTATGTTGATCATCCTTAGTTTCTCTCGAACATTAAAGATGAGCTACTTAGTTTCTCTCAAACACTAAGTGTTTTCCTAAGGAATGAATACTCTCATAGTTCCTACAACCTTAAAACATTAAGCACCATAAGCAAAACAAATAAGAACATAAAGAAAAACAACCATCCATTAAATAAAAAGCTTAAACATCTATAGTGAACTCCCACCAAATAAAGCTAGTTCATGGTGGGATTCAAATATTCCAAGCAATAAGGCATGAAGATCATGTGTTCCATACAACCCAAGTATGACAAGTAATAAAAACAGCAAATGGATGGAGGAAAAACCTTCAACGTGCACTATCGGAGCTCCCCTCATCCACCACAAGCCACCTTAGCTTGCTAGCTCCTCTTGGATGTCTAGCTCGCCACTCCCTCTAGCTTGTTAATGAAGAAATGCCACGGCAAAAGCGAATGACAGAAAAAAGATCATTTTTCTTCCAGCTGCCTCTTTACTCGTTTCTCAAGAATTTTAGCTCAAAATGGTGTAAAATCGAGTCTTCTTTATCCGGTGGCTTCATCTCCTATTTATAGTGGGGAATAAACCTATAGATTTGTGTCAAAATTCCCATGCGACCCTAAGTTTGTTTCCTTCACGTGAGGGTGCTGTAGAGGTAGTATTGGTTCCCTCTTGAGCGACTAGCAATTAGGCATAAGTGTAGACAAGATCAACCGACCAAGATGGCAGATGTTCCCTCCTAGGTGTCTGACATCTAAAGGCACATGAAGATAAGGACAACTGGTTGAAAAATATATTCCTTTGTCTTTTTTCCTTCCGAAATGCCGTCTGAGTTGGCATTTACATTCTGCTCAACATTCCCAATTTGTCACGACAATTCTCCTCGCTCATCCTTGCTCCCAAATCGTGCACATCATCAAACAAAGCACCTTCCCCATAACGCAACACCGTTTTCAAAATAAAATGCCACGACAAAATATATTTCTGCTACATGCAACTATATGCTCATAAATACATCTATATGATCTGATATAACCTTTTAGACAGTCAATAACTTAAGTGAAAAGACCCTAAATATGGTCTTTTTACGGAGTTATCACACCCCCAAACTTAAGCTATTGTTTGTCCTCAAGCAATGGATAGTAGTAAGCAAAATAAAAATACCATGGCAAGTTCAGGTTCAAGATAGTCATATGGGATAGAGTTTCAACCCTCAGAACAATTGGCTTCAACATGCTAGACTAATTTGAGAAATCAAGTGTTGTCCCCTAGGGCAAGATCCTTTGTGTTTGTGTGTGTGATTGTATCAAGTCCATGCTTAAGAAGTCTAGAAAATTTCTAAGCAAGCTCTCTTATTTTGCCACAACATTTACAAGTTGACTCCCACATTGTTTTCTTCTTTTTTTAACACTGCTATGAGGGGCAGCTTATCACACCTACCATTATAGACTTGGAAATGAGATGGAGTAAACACTCCATTCCCTAACATATTGGGCAGAGTCATCTCGTGACTGTTTTCATTCACTCATTTGCTATGGCTGTCATTTATTTAAATGAAGTATCCAAAAAATGCCATGACATAGTGGAGTGTCCCTCTACACTTATCTGAAACATTTATTCAGAATTTCATTTTTTTCCATCATTTGTCATTTCAAATATTTTTTTTCATTTTCAGGAACATGTTGGGTTTTCATCATTCAAGGACATTGTCAAAATTTTACGCTTAGACATGCAAGACTTCTCTTATAAAAAAATTCTAAGTTCATTAAACATGGAAACATATAATCGTGTATCAGAAAGTTACAAATAAGAAAGTTTTAGAGTTGGTTCCATCATCCTAAACAGTCACGTACATTCAATTTTAGTCATAAAGAGTTCATCATCATCGGGCATCATTAATTTCTTCCAATGAACTAACTCAAAAACTTACTAATGTCATGGCATATTCATTCAACTAATACTATCATGCAATGACTTGAGAACCCTACCTCCCCCAAACTTGAGAGAATCATTGTCCTTAATACTAAACAAAAACTAAGTAAAAACTAGACTGCATGCAATACAATGCAATACAATACAAGGTACCTTGACTATTTATGGTGGTGTTAGGGCTACCGTGCGACGTGGGTGCTTACACAATGGTATGGGACTAGAGTGTTCAGAATCTGTTGGTGGTACAATAGGGGGTCCTAAGGCATTCAGGGATCAAGGTGAATTGAGGCTCCTCAAGTTTAAACGCCTTCTTCAAACGGCGTCGACTCCTTAGCTGAGGGAATTGTTATGGCATTTTTTATTGTTCTGCATTAAGTGGCTCTGTGGGCTGTGAGGATGTTGTCATGGTTGGTAGCTGGAGCTCAGTTTCTAGGCCTGCAGTTGCTGACACTGAGTGGATTGGATCAACATCTTCTGGCTCCTCCTTATTAGCGGGCTGGAGAACATCTGCTGATGTCGTGGCATCCACAGAGGTACGTAAGAGCGTATCAGGGAAGACTTGGATATCAAGAGCAACGTGCGGGAGGAGCTCCATGAAGGTACGTAAGAGCGTTAGGTTGATGGTCAGCTTTGCCACGTGATCCTGGGTCTGCTAGGCTACCTCCTCTAGAGCGTCTAGTGTTGCCATGCCATCTTGGTTTGCATCAGCTCGGGTGGTGCTCTCCTCTTTCTCCTTACCATTGTTTTCCTTGAATCTAAACAATGAATGCAGCCTGACCTTTGTAATACCAGGCAACCCAGGCAATATTTCATCAAACTAGTCATTGGGCACCTTCTTCTTACAACAGAGTACCAAGATGAGTTTTAGAAATACCAGGGCACTGGCAGGTCCTTCAAACAAGTATGAACTTGTTCCACGATTAATTTCCTATTTAATAGAGTGCCCTACCAAAATAGAGTACAGCAGAAGCATCCTCTATAGTAAGACAGTGGTGTTGCGGGTAGTGGGGAGAAGGTTATGCTTCATGAAATGATTCCATAACTTATTCCTCAGTTATAGCCTCTCGCAATACACCGATCTTCGGCTGGCTTTTTGCCCATTCCACTTTGTATTTGAAAAGTAGAGGTCCTCCAATATGTCATGGTAAGTCTCGTTATCTACTATCTTTGCGAATGTGGTGTGGCTATCAACAATATCATGCAATTTAAAGTAACGATTAATAGTCGAAGAGATAAAGTGAATAGAAATTCCGCGAACCACCACGACATGTTGATTTGGGTCAGTTAAATTGGCATAAAATTCCTTCACAAGAGAGGCATTCCAGTTCCCTGGATGCCTATCAAAATTTTTCAATTACGTTGGTGGACAATGTCTATGACATCGCCTCTAAGGTTGGCATCTTCAGCGTTGGAATGAAACATAACTCAAATAAAACCCGACGTTTTTTACCCTTGAAACGTTCTTACATCGTTTCGTCGATGAAACGTGGTAGAGACAAAGGAGTCATGCTCGACGAACGTGAGCGCACCATTGTTTGGTTGACAAAAGAAAGAAAAAATGAAAAAGCTTGAAGCTTTTGGTTATGGTGTGTGGTTTGAAGTAGGGGGAAAAAGAGAAAGAGATGAAGTTGGAGTGAAAGAGTACAAAAATAGAAATAAAATAAAAAGGGAGAAATGTGAGGTTATTTAATCGGTGGATGGGGTTTGGGTTGGGAAAAAAATTAAAGCATTAAATGAAAAGTAAATCTAAAAAACGAAAAAAAATTAAAAAGTCAAAAGTAAAGATTTTCCCTCCTATTTTTTTTGGTACAACTAACTTCTATGTCCTTAACCGTAAAGTCCTCTCATGCCATCTGCGTGGGTCCCTAAAAATTCAAAAGCACTTAATTAATCGAAAAATAAATGAATATAAAATAAAATAAAATAAAATAAAATAAATGTTTTATTTATGCACATGAGTAAATTCAAAATGTCATGGCGTCTTCAAAATACTCTGCAGATTCAGGCACCTTGCAAGAAGAGTGTCGATTTGTCACGCAAGGGTGGAGCTCCTCGATAAGCTTTCAGACGTTGACAGTTAATTTTGGAAATGGTCCCATCATATATATTACTGATATCAACATCATCATGAGGGTAGACATGGTGTACTTCAAAGGGTCTGGACCATCGTGAGTTTAGTTTATCAGGAAAAAGCTTCACCCTGGAGTTGAAGAGGAGCATCTGCTGTCCAATATGAAAATGCCTTGGAAAAAGCATTCGATCATGCCACTTCTTGGTTTTTTCCATGAAAATCTTAGCATTTTCATGTACTTGTGATCTAAATTCTTCTATTTCATTCAGATTGAGTAATCGTTGCTCCCTAGCTAGTTGTACATCAAAATTAAGCTTATTGATAGCCCAATATTTCTTATGCTCTAACTCCACAGGTAGGTGGCATGATTTCCCATACACCATCTTGAAAGGTGACATTCCCAATGCCATTTTGAATGTTGTTCGATAAGCCTAGAGTGCTTCATCAAGCTTTGGGGACCATTCCTTCCTTCTAGGATTCACCATCTTATACATGATTTGCTTAATCTCTCGGTTGGACACTTCAGCTTGCCCATTGGTTTGTGGGTGATATGTCATGGTAATTTTGTGTCATACTCCATATATTTGTAATGCATTAGCAATTATATTGTTATCAAAATAAGTACCCTTATCACTAATGATGGCTCTAGGTGCTCAAAATCAGGTGAAGATGTTATTGTGAAAGATCTTGAGCACGATTTAAGAGTCATTATTTGGTGTTGCAATTGCTTCAACCTACTTAGATACGTAGTTTACAGCAAGAAAGATATACAAGTCTCCAAAAGAAGATGGGAACGATCCCATGAATTCAATGTCCCACATCTCAAAGAGCTCGATCTCCAGAATATTTTTCAATGGCATTTCATGTCACCTGGAAATGTTCACAGTGCGCTTGCATCTATCACACGCTCTGCAAAATGCATGAGCATCCTTGAATAGTGAAGGCCAGTAAAAGCCTAATTGTAGAACCTTAGCACCAGTCCTCGTACCTCCAAAATGGCCTCCACAGGGGGCTGCGTGGCAATGGTGTAGAATGTCTCTTTACTCATCCTCAAGGACACAATGTCAAATTATTTGATCGACGCATTGTTTGAATAAATATGGCTCGTCCCAAAAGTAGAATTTAGCATTATGATGGAACTTCATCATGCCCTGGTTGTTCAATTCATATGGTAAAATTCCACAAAAAAATTGATTATATCAGCGTACCATAGATTGCCGTGGCATATAAAATTTTCTCATCAGGGAATGCATCTTGAATATCTAAAATGTGATGGCATTCAAAATTATTTTCTAGCCTAGATAAAAAATCTGCAACCTGGTTCTCAATACCTTTTCTATCTATCACCTCTAAGTCAAATTCTTGCAATAGTAATATCCACCTAATGAGTCTAAGCATGGCATCTTTCTTGTTGACTGAGTATTTTATAGCTGAATGATTAGTGTGAACAATAACTTTGGTGCTTATCAAGTATGATCTAAACTTTTCAAATGCAAATACCATAGCAAGTAATTCCTTTTCAGTGGTTGTGTAATTAATTTATGCTTCATTCAATGTACGACTAGCATAATATATAACATGGAAAATTTTACCTCTACATTTCCTAAGCACAGCTCCCACGGTAAAATCGCTCGCATCACACATTAGCTCAAATAGTGATGTCCAATCGGGGGGACCATAATGGGCACAGAGACAAGTCTTTGTTTCAACTCGGTGAACATGTCATGATAGTTTTTATCGAACATGAATGACCGATTTTGATAAAGTAGGGCGCATAAGGACTTGGATATTGTGGAGAAGTCCTTGATGAATCTTCTATAAAACCCAACATGTCCAAGGAAACCTTTAATTCCCTTGACATATGTTGGTGGGGGTAGCTTCTTAATCACCTTGATTTTGGGTTTGTCCAATTCAATTCCCTTATGAGATATCTTATAGCCTAGCACAACGCCTTCGGTTAGCATGAAGTGATACTTTTCCCAATTCAACACAAGGTCAGCCTCCTCACATCACTTGAGTACCTTTACCAAATTGTCGAGACATTTATCAAAGTTATCTCTAGAAATGGAGAAGTCATCCATGAATATCTCTAGGAAGTCCTCAACCATGTCAGAAAAGATAACTTGTATGTAGTGTTAAAAAGTTACCGGAGGATTACAGAGTCCAAAAGGCATCATCTGGAAAGCATAAGTGCCATAGGGACACGTGAATATAGTCTTCTCCCGGCCTTCTGATGCCCAGTCTTCTGATGTAAATTTGATTATACCAGAATATCCATCTAAGAAGCAATAAAATGCATTGCCATCCAATCGATCCAACATTTGATCGATGAAGGGAAAAGGAAAGTGGTATTTTTAAGAGGCCTTTGTTAACTTGCGATAGTGCATGCATATCCTCCACTCGGTGAGAGTGCGTGTTGGTAACAACTCATTGTCCTTTCTAGTCACTATGATCGTGCCTCTCTTCTTTGGCATACATTGGACATGACTCACACATGAACTATTAGATATGGGGTAAATCACTCCATTATCAAACCATTTGAGGATTTCTTTCACCACTACTTTCCTCATGATTAGGTTTAGTATTCTTTTTGGTTCTATGGATTTTCCATGGCATTCCTCCAGCAGGATCTTGTGTATAAAAATAGTGGGACTTATCCCCTTTAGATCCGCCATAGTCCATCCTAACTCTTTTTTATGCTATGACAAAACACTTAACAAACTACATTCTTGGTTAGGAGTAAGGGTAGAGGAAATAATAATAGGTAAAGTTTCATTACTACCCAAGTAAGCATATTTAAGCTGGTTGTGGAATAAGCCTCTCATAATTTTCCAGCTGAATGGCATTGTCATGGAAAAATTGATCAACTTCTCCTGCTATCAATGAATCCACTTCCAAAATGCTCTGACTTTCTTTAGACTCATCCATGTACTTGAGAGTATAGAAAACATTAACGGTGACACATTGGTCGGCCACTCTCATGGCGAGCTCGCCCTTCTCACAGTCGATAAGAATATGCTCTGTAGCTAGGAAGGGTCTCCCCAAGATTATGGGTGCCATGGCATCAACCTCACAATCAACTATAAAGAAGTCTACTGGAAACTCAAAATTTTCCACCCTTAGAATGACATCCTTGACTCACCCGTCAGGACAAACATGAGAGCGATCGACTAGTTGCAAGATAACGGAGGTGGGTCTTGCATTTACTATTCCAAGCTTCAAGAAGATTGACATAGGCATTAAGTTCACGCTTGAGCCAAGGTCACATAGTGCATTCCCAACATAATTTTCTCCTATCGAACATAGAATGATAAAGCTGACTGGATCTTTTTGCTTTGGTAGAAGCTTGTTCAAGGCAGAGTAGTATGCCTTTGACGTGGAAATGGTCTCTTACTTCTCAGCTTTTCGTTTCTTGGTAACAATCTCTTTGAGAAATTTAGCATATGTCGACATTTTTTCTATAGCTTCTAGAAAAGGAACATTGATGTGGAGTTGGTCCATAATGTCGACAAACTTCTTGAATTGAATGTCATCATTATGTTTATTTAGTCTTTGTAGGAACATTGGTGGGGTCTGACTTCTTCTAATGAAGAGATGTGAACAAAATTTTCCGTGGCATTTTTGTTTGCTCCCTTAGTAGTTTCACTGGATGAACCTTCATCCTTATCCTCCTCCACTTGTGTTTCTTCTAACACTTAATGCTCAGCTGGTACAGTTACAGGAAGTAAATCATAATTATTTCTTCCCCCCAAACTTATCTTGTACATTGATTTGGGTGCTACTTCGTAGAGTGAATGCACTATAATCCTCCTTCCCATGAGTTTTAGTGACTTATGTGTCATTCGACAGATGACCTGGTTGACATTCTTCTAATGCTGCGGTAATTTGACCAACTTGACCCTCCAAAGCCCTCAAAGATGAGCTATGGATTTGAAGCAAATCTCCTTGACCGTGTAATAAGGCTCTTTGGTTTTTGACGGAGGTAGCATGGTCTTTATGGTAGCTATAAAATCTTGGATTGTGGCCTCCAAAGAACTTGTGTTAGATGAAGATTGTACTCCCTTGTTAGAATATGCCATGGTATATTCGTTTTAAAACCTTGAGAGTCATTGAAATTCTGTGGCCTAATGGGTTAATTAGTATTGTTGGTTCCTTGATTTCTCCGTGAGAAGTTTTGATTTTGATGCCATCCAAGATTATAGGTGTTAGAATAGGTGTTGTTGTTGCCTTGATTATAGTTTCCTACATAGTTGATGGATTCCTTATTGGTCGGACACTCGCTCTAATGATGATTGCCTTAGCATAATAAACATGCTGAGTTGGCTGGCTTTATTTCTTTCACATCACTTGGTCATTGCAAATTCTTCAAGATACCGGTGATGATAGCAAGTTACGACATCCTTAGTATCCAACTTGAATGCCCCATGCGCTTTTTGCCTAGTTCCAAGCCTTGTATATGTGAATTGATCATCATTGTTTGCAATCCTATCCAGAATGTCAAATGCCTCTGCAGGTGATTTATCGAGCAATGTCCCATTTGCCGAAGTATCTAGCATCATCCTTGTGGGAGCATTTACTCCATTATAGAAACTTACCACTTGAGTTCAATCTCAAAAACCATGATTAGAGCATTTACGAAGCAATCCTTTATATCAACCCCAACATTTATACTTTGATTCGTCATCAGCTTGATGAAAAAAAACAATGTCGTTCCTCAGTTAGGTGTTCATGTTCGACAGATTATACCGTAGCAAAAAACTTTTGCACATATCAGTTCAGGACTCCATTGAGCCAGCTAGAACACCACTCAACCATGTCGTTGCTTGTCACACAGAGAATATGGAAATGACTTTAATTTCAGTTTATCCTTGTGCACTCCTTGTTATCTGAAAGAATCACACACCTCTAAGAAGTTACGGATATGCTACCTGGCATCTTCATGAGGCATGCCCCCACACTACTCTATGGAATTAAACATATTAAATATGACTAGTTTAAGCTCAAAATGGGTTGCCTGAATCTCGGGTGCCATAATTCTTGGCTGCATTCCCAACATTCAAAATTGCATTGACATTCTAATCTTCCTCTTGACCAATACCTTAATTTAAGTGATCTCGAATATCACGAGGCATGGCTGCATTCCCAACATTCAAAATTTCCTCAGTATTCTAATCTTCCTCTTAACCAATATCTTGATTGCTTGAGCACGTTGGGCATGTTTCTTTGCCTAAAACCAATACCTTAATTTAAGTGATCTCGAATATCACGAGGCATGGCTGCATTCCCAACATTCAAAATTTCCTCAGTATTCTAATCTTCCTCTTAACCAATATCTTGATTGCTTGAGCACGTTGGGCATGTCTTCTTTGCCTAAAATGCCTCTCAATCTCAAGTTCAATTGGTTTGTCAA